GCTTGTGCTTACTGGGTACCTTCATAATAGAAAACAAATGGTTAAATATGGAAGTGTATTTATTTATATTGTTCCTAATTGACATGGAAAAAATAGTTAAATCCAGTATATAAAAATTTTCGCAGATGATACTATGTTTTACAAAGAAGGGAACAATTTAAATGTTATGAGTCCCCTAATAAACAATGATTTAAAATTACTGTGTGAGTTGCTAAATAGAAACAGTTTATGTTTAAATGTGTCAAAAACTAAATTATGTGTATTTGGGAGTAATAAGACTGTAAATGTTGATTTTAATTATTTGAATATTTGAATATGTGTTAATAATATAAAATTAGAATGTATAAAAGAAATTAAATATCTCGGAGTGATCCTTAATGAAAAATTTTCACAAACATGCAAAACAGTACAAGTGTCCAATTTTACTATGTAAAGGATTTTTCAATTGGGACGGCAGCCGAAATTGGCAGCCTGTGGCGGCCGTATTGTTTTAACTTGTTGTTTGTTAATCAGTCACACCAGACGCACGGTGGCCCTTCAAAGTCGACTCTCAAACGTTTGGTGGCCAAATTCGAGGCGACCTGTTTGCTAAACAATCAGCCAACACATACATGTACGTCCATAAAACTTTCGACGGACGAGGACCAGTCAAAAATTGAATTTGCGAAACGTATACGTTTTTTAGTGTTCGTATCTAAGCGTATGCGAATACATACGAATGAAACCAAAAATCGACCCCCTGATCGCCAAAAGATCGGCCAAAAATATCGCCGCTGTCCAATTTTGGTACTATTATTGTGTGTTGTCTATTATGAAGCATTTTAAAACGGTGTATGTTAAGGATTTGGGGGAAGTGGAGCCCGTGCCGCATAAGTGGGAAGAGTAGGGGATCCCCGGACACTCTGCACAGTAAGAAATGATGGTAAAATTACGGATAAAAATATGTAATATTTACATAAAAAATATGGTGTTTCAAATAAACGCATAAATTATTCCTGTTATTGAGTGATTTTACCTAATATATTCTGTAAAGGTAAATATTTTACAGAATAAAACTTTGGCTATTCTGTGGTCAACATAATATTCTGTAATTTTTTCTTACTGTGTTCCCAAATCAGTGAGCCAAAAGATTCTCTTTCGAAAACAAATTAATAGTTCTCCTAATAAATAAAGTTGGAGGCAATATAAGTGCAAGGTATTAGCACAAGGTTATGCTACCTTTAAATTTGCCACCCTATGCACCTGCAAACAAAAACTGTGGCAACCAGTGTCAGAGACATCAGCATCTGAACAAGAGCAGGAGGCCCCCATACATAATATGGTTATTTGACAAAACATCGTAAGCGAAAATTTTGTTGAATTACTTTTTATTTTATCAAAGTGTCAGTTACGATAAGCTGCACATGTTAACATAATAGTTATTCCAATTTTGGAATCTAATATAGGTCAGTTTGAATATTTTTATTATTGTAAGCGCCTCTTCTTTTTAATTTGTTACCGATTTATAACGTAAGCGCCTATATGTTCCTGACAAATAATCGTAAGCAACTCCGAGACATGGCGTTTGCGATTTAACATTTTGTCGCTTACGATAATATTGTGCTCCCGCCTTGATCTATCAAAACGTTATTCCCGCTCTAAACAGTTTATTCGTGAGTATACCTGCATCGTGGTCATTGCTACCACAATCCACAATGTGGATTGTGATTGCTACCAAGTTTTAAAACAATATTTTATTTGATCAAAAGCTTATAATTCCTTTTTATCATTGCATTATTAATAATTATCCTAATTATAATTGTTTTTGCGTAGTGTGGTTCGTTAAAAGTGTTTTTTTGTAGTAATTGTATGTTGTTATAACGTCAAATAATTTAACTCAAGATGACCACCTGTCATTCAGTTGATTTCAAAATGTAAAACTGCCTTTATTGGCCACTAACCTTACTTTCTGAAAGTTGTCAGTTTGACGTATTTCATTGTTGATTGTGTTGTTTTAATGTTAGATTCTCTGTCAACTTTTTGAAACTGCTTGTCATCTTGTTAAAAATGTCCCTAAAGGTTGGTTTGCACAGACATTAAGTTCGGGCTCCTTATGTAGGCTCCATGGGTTAGATACCTACTGGTTTGTGAATAAAAATCGTTCGTTTTTTTCAAAAAAAGTTAGATTTTCATTTTCAAAAATTTTTTGGCAAAATATCGTTGGTGATATAAATTAATTTTTTTGTAATAATTTTTTATTTAATAATAAAAGTAAAAAAATAAATGTCGCTAACAATGTTTTGACAAAAGTAATCATCAAATCTATATTCCACAAAGTAACGTAAATGTAACTTAAGCGACAAGACTATTTTTACATTTTCCTAAAGATGTTCTTATAAAATATCGTATGCCACAAAATTTAATGAAAATTTTAGATTGGATTCGATCTAACTTAAATATTTGAATTCTACATTAATAAAATAATGCCTTACCAGTTTTCAGATAAATAACTTTAAAAATAAAGCTCCCACACAAAAAAAATCTCTCCTGTAAAATTTAGGTTTTGTCGCTTACGATGTTTTGTCAAATAACCATCGATATATTGAATACTAAGAGAGAGGTTAAACCTTCCTTAAAATATAAAGAGTATGATGATGTACCATCATATATAAATTGGCTAAAGAAAATTTTATACCGCAACTAGCCAAAAAAGTGTGTCAGAAAAAGGCTGACGAAAACACAACAAAAATTCTTTTTTTCTTTTCTGTTGGCATTTTTTCTTTGATTTTAATATAGGTTATGTATACTATTTCCCGTCTAACAATTCTTATAATTTTTTTTGACCAAAGTGTAAGTAACGATTTGACGTTCAACCGATGTAAATATACGTCAAAAAAAATTAACGAAACAAACAAGAAAACACTTTCCACTAGAAAACGTTATCCCAACAAAATTTAGACGTCGAAAATTTTACTAGAAATTACTTTCCAATTAACAACGTCGGAACAAACGTCTCGAATGCCGACTATAGTCGGCATGTTGGTTGGTATACCAACTGCGTAATACAAAATTACGATAAACCGACGTCGAACAATGACTTCGGTTACAAAGTTATAACCCAACCCCAATTTTCACTTAAAGCGACGTCGAGCTTAGTGCAAGTTTAGTCGGAAGTCAGAAAAATGTTTATTGGGCTGCTGCTAACTTCAGCCCGTGACTAAAACGCCATAAAGCCACAACTAGTCAGTGTGTATTTAAAAGGTCACTTAGTATCATGGAAAAATGTACGATATTGGGCGTTTTAAAGGTGGGACTCCCACCGTTGGAGTAGAACAAATGTATTTTGTTATAATAGTTATTTATGTTAGATGGCTAAAAAGTTAGTTCATAGTTTAAAGGACGACGCGTTAGCAAAGGCCTACAATTGAGCGAAGCATAAAAAGAAGCCGAATGGCTTACAATATTTTATCTTCAAGGGACAGTTTTATTTGTTAAACGTACAATAAATATAATAATAACAATTATTAAAAGTATAAAGTGAGGTTAGATAGCTTCAGATGTGTAAACAGTTATCGATTTTTTTGTCCTAACGGGTCTTTTACAGACTAGTATGTAAAAATTTCATCTGTTTAGTCTAAATTATTTCTACAGCCTAGGACATAATTAAATACTTTGGTAGTACGGCCATTTCAAGCGCGCGAAACGCATGAATTACAAAACTGTTTTTATAAAAAAAATTGTAGATTATTTATTATACAATATTTTGGCATCAAAATTGTCAAAAATATTCTTCTTTTATTAGGTTATACATTAAATGAAAAAAAACTCAAGAAATATTTTATGAAAGTAGATATAATTTTAATAATTGAAAGGTGTGGACGGGACAAAAAAAAGATTTATCTTGTCCCGTCCATCCCTGTGAATTATTGAAATTATCTCTACTTTTATAAAATATTTCTTGCGATTTTTTTTATTTAATGTATACCCTAATAATAGAAGAATATATTTGACAATTTTGATGCAAAAATAATATATAATAAATTAGCTACAATTTTTTTTATAAAAACAGTTTTGTGATTTGTCCCCTCCATCCGCTTGAAATGGCCGACGCGTGAGCGATGGCAATAATAAAGCTTAAATTAAAATAAATTGTTTATAATGATTAATTAAATAATACCGAATTTAATTATTTTTCGGCATTATTTTTTTGGACCTATGCTCGGGTTTTTCCTATACGTCTAAGTCTTATGTTTGTTTTTTATATAAATCGAGAAAATTGGAACCCAACCTACTTTTTTTAAGTTAACTATTGAGGAGTGATTTTTCAAAAGGCCGTATTTCCATTTTTACTTAAATGTCATTTTTCGACAAAATCACAAAGGTATGGTTAAAACGCATATATTAAATCGTAAATATGTTACACAAGATGTTGCATGTCAAGAATATGATGAAGAAGTGATGTGTTAATGTAATGAGCCAGAGATGGATATCCTTAAAATATAAGCCTTACATATTTTTTAATATTGTTAGCACAATAAAGATATTTTTCCATATATTTTTTTAAAACGGTCCTCAATAAAAAAGTAATATTTCCAAGTTTGTACACAGCAAAAAGGCACATTTCCAAAATGATTTCATACAAAAGGTCTTATTTCCAAATAATTTTTAAAAATAACATTGCTATAAATATTTAAATTTAAACCACCAATACGACAGCAGGTCTGAAGTAGTATTATATATTCATCAGAATTTTTTTTTTAAATAATCTTTATCGCCCTAACCTATACAGGTTATATTCGTTTTTTGAAAATGTGTTGCAAATGGAAATACTCAATTCTCCTCAATTGTTGTACCAAATTGTTTTTCAAAAAAAGTTTTTATAAAATTATCTAGGTATTTGTTTTTTTCCTTACCACTTCCCAGATTTAATCTATTAATAGATGGTATATGACGAATAGTGTGACTCAAGGTTAGATTTGTTATTGTTTTATTAGCCTGTTTGTTTAAATTTGCCACCATACTATAGTAAACTTACGTTCATACAAAGTGCAAATTTAATCTTACTTAGTGTTTTACAATGTGGATTTTAGTGTTTTTTAGTGTTGTGTTCGCGTATTTTTTCTATAAATCATGTATTAAGCCTTTAAGTTATTGGAAAAATTTAGGTATTCCACATGAAAAAGCTGTACCGATTTTTGGTAATTTTTTCGATTCGATTTTGGGTAGAAAGCATACAAGTGATATTTTAAGTGATATTCATAAGAAACATAAAAATGATAGGTAAAATGAAAATTTATTTATGACAACAAATTATACATTGTAAATTATGCAACAATTATAGATATGTGGGTTTGATTCAATTTAACAAACCAATGTTGATGTTAAATGACATTGAACTGATCAAACAAATTACCATCAAAGATTTTGATCACTTCGTGGATAGAATGGAATTTGAGGATCCTGATCCGTTTATGAGGAAAAACCTCTTGGCCATGAAAGGCAACATTTGGAAGGAAATGCGGGCAACCCTAAGTCCAATTTTCACCAGTGCCAAAATTAAACACATGTCTCAGCTTATGATGGAATGTGCAAAAAACCTTCAGCAAAATATTCCTGTAGGATCTAATATTCAGGAGGTTCTAATCAAAGACGTATTTTCAAAATATTCAAATGATATTATTGCTTCGGTTGCTTTTGGTATACAGTGCAATTCATCTACAGATGCTGGAATAAATGAATTTTATGGCAATGCTAAGAAGTTCGCCACGTTTAGCGCAAGTCAGAATTTAAAGGCCATATTTTTAATTACATTTCCCTACTTTGCAAAGGTATGAGTTTACTAGCTAAATAACAATTAAATAATAATGTTTTCGAAAATGATATTTATTAATCAGCAGTAAAAATGATATTGATTAATTAATAGGAAACTTGGTTTCAGAACAATATTTTTAGTTTTAGAACATTATCTTATTTTATTTAGCCCAAATACATTTTTATGCAATAAGCTATTTTTCATATTTATGAACTCTACTCAAAATGTTAAACCTTTCTTATATTAAAATTACAAACTGAGAAGAATAATTTCATGATTACCTACAATAATAATTAATATAATAAATAAATAATTATTATAATACAAAATCAAAAGCAACATTAAGTAAAACATAATATAAATATACTTCGTCAGTTTAAATTTTTTTAAATACCCATATTGGAGATAGGCTATCATTTAAATTAACATAACATTTGCTATGAAATAATACAAATTAAAAAATGTTTCAGCGGTTTCTTTTTTAACTTATAAAAATGTTTTACGACAACGAAAATGATATTTTTGACAACACCTAAATTTATAAATGTGCGCTGATAACACTGTGCGACAAATTTTGACCTTACAATTTGAACTGGGATGAAATGTGGAAAAATCGAATCTATGCAACCCCCAAAACTAATCTTTAAAGGGGTTTTGCTAGTTTAGCTCGAATAATGAAGATATACAGGGTGTTTCTTTTAACTTGAGACAGCTCAATATCTCGAGAAATACGCATTTCACGGAAAAATTTCTTAAATAAAAGGTTAATGTGACCAAAGGGGACATTATTTGGTGCTACCGCTAGCCACCCCCTACCCCTCCTTAAGGGTGAAACGGGGGGTAACTTTGAAAAGTCAAATGGAATGACCCGATTTTTTTCACAGAGTTTGGTAGTACATAAAAAAATGAATAACTTTTATTTGAAAGTTTTTTTCAATTTATCAACAGATGGCGCTGTAATTCAAAATTTAAGAAAAAGGGGTTTCCTTGTAAAATGTATTATTTGAAACGTTTGAAAAACAAAAATTAAAATTAAATCAACATTTGTTATAAATTGTTTTCATAGCCGACTATTGTTGTTAATGTTAATTTTTGTTTTTCAAACGTTTCAAATAATACATTTTACAAGGAAACTCATTTTTCTTAAATTTTGAATTACAGCGCCATCTGTTGATAAATTGAAAAAAGTTTTAAATAAAAGTTATTTATTTTTTTATGTACTACCAAACTCTGTGAAAAAAATCGGGTCATTCCATTTGACTTTCCAAAGTTACCCCCCGTTTCACCCTTAAGGAGGGGTAGGGGGTGGCTAGCGGTAGCACCAAATAATGTCCCCTTTAGTCACATTAACCTTTTATTTAAGACATTTTTCCGTGAAATGCGTATTTCTCGAGATATTGAGCTGTCTCAAGTTAAAAGAAACACCCTGTACATATATATATGTATATCTCCATTATTCGAGCTAAACTGGTAAAACCCCTTAAAGGATTTGTTTTGGGGGTTGCCTGGATTGGATTTTTTCAGATTTGATCCCAGTTCATTTTTTGTGTTGCACAGTGTAATCAGTTATCAAAAATATTAAGTAACTATTTCTCAAGAAAACTGTTTTTATTTTTGTCTCTCACATGGCCTAAGTAAAGGTAATTTTGTCAAAGAAAACGTGTTTTTATTCAAATACTCGCACCTAACTTTTGTTGTAATGTAAAGCAGACCTATAACATTTATTTTTTTAAATCAGGTTTCTTTTAAATGCATGCCAAAAACATCAGTAAGATTTAGCTAGCAAAAAGTTTTTGTGTAAAATCACAACTTTTAAGTTATTAAGAAAGTAAAATTGCCTCATGTGATTTTTTTATTCAAAAATCGAGATGATTTTATTAGGACTTTTTGTTCCGCAAAATAATATTTTATTTACATAAAAACAATATAAACTATATTACATAAAAACAATATAAACTATATTAAAAACGTGTTTTAATAATATAATTATAAAACAAAAACCATTTTTTTGAATCAGTGTTAATATTAGTATTTAATTAGGTGCTAATAATACACTGCCCGTCAAAATTAACGCATAATAAGTAAAAAAATTCTAACTCTAAAACGTCTTTACCAATCTTTATAAAATTTTGGATAAACATACTTTAACTATATCTCACTTTACGTGTTCAAGGGTTTTTCGAGAAAATATCCTTAAAGCCCTTTTATTTAATAATAAAAAAAACGCTAAAAAAACTTTTATAGTGAATTTTGTTTAAGTAAATAAAAAATATGCTGTGAAATACCGTATTTTATACCCTGAAAATGTTGTACAAATCAAACGAACAGTAACGAAAATACAGCGTTTTAAAGTCGTCAAAAATGACCACTTTTCAGCAAAATATTCAAAACGGGGTCATTTTTACCGACTTTGAAGCACTGTATCTTCTTCCCTGTTCGTTTGATTTGTACAAAATTTTCAGGGTATACCATGATACTAAATAGTAGTATCGTGGGGTATACTAACAAAAATACGGTCTTTAACAGCATATTTTTATTTACTTAAATTTCCCTAAAAGTTATTTTTTAAACGTTTTTTTATTATTAAATAAAAGGGCTTTAAAAATATTTTCTCGAAAAACCCTCGAATACGTAAACTGAGATATAAGTTGAAGTATTTTTATACAAAATTTCATAAAGATTAGTAAAGGCGTTTTAGAGTTTGAATTTTTTTACTTATTATGCGTTAATTTTGACGCGCAGTCTAGAATGCTAATATGCTACTATTTAGGTTATAACAGTTAAATTTTACTTTAAAGAATAAGAGCTGTTATTTAAAAAGGTTAATAATATACATGTTCTGATATGACAGCCAAAGGCAGCCATAACCGGACATAAAACCAGCTTGGTTTTTCATCCGCCCATGCCTGTTTTTTTCAGCAGGGAGCACACATAATAAGTATATTTTAAAACCAGTTATAGATATTATTAACCTTTTTATATAAAATTTCTTATCATTTAAAATTATTATTATTAGCAGTGCTAATTTAGCACATACTTAAATATAGCACACTGATTAAAAAGAAAATTTGGTTTTTATTAAAACATATAAAAGAAACCTGATTTAAAAAAATATACCTATATTATAAAAAATATATATTATAGGTCTCATGTAAATTACAAAAAAACTAGGTTCGAGTATTGAATAAAAAACATTATTTGACAAAAATTACCGTTACTCAGGCCCAGTGGCGGCTGGTGAATTTTGGGTATACCCATATCTCAGTTATTAGACATGGGACCCACACCAAAATTATATGAGTTTATAATGACATTAAATAGACAAGATCTGCGCAAGCAGAATTTAAATTAAAGTTTGCGAAAAAAAGTTTGTTTCTCAGCTAGTTTACACCACCCCCCGCCCCCCCCTAATTAAAATAATTCAAATTAAAGTGGTGCAATTTTTAATTTACTATAGTTTATCGACAAATTTCAAATTTTATAAAAAAATCCTTGTATTGGAGATTTTATACCATTTTGTTTTTATTTCTTTTTCACTAATTTTTTTAAATAGGTATAAAACCTGTTTTACTTGGATTTTTTTAAATAATTTTTGAAATTTGTCGATAAACTATAGTAAATTAAAAATTGCACCACTTTAATTTGAATTATTTTAATTAGGGGGGGGGCAGGGGGTGGGGGGAAACTAGCTGAGAAACAAACTTTTTTTCGAAAACTTTAATTTAAATCCTGCTTGCGCAGATCTTGTCTATTTAATGTCATTATATACTCATATAATTTTTGTGTGGGTCCCATGTCTAATAACTGAGATATGGGTATACCCAAAATTCACCAGCCGCCACTGAGTCAGGCCATGTAAGCTTTAGACCCAAAATAAAAAAGTGTTTTATTGAGAAATAGTTGATGATCTAGCTAAGCGCACATTTAAATGTTGTCAAAAATATCATTTTCGTTGCCGTAAAACATTTTTATAAATTTTAAAAAAATAACAGCTGAAATATTAGTTATTAGATCATTTTTGAGGAACTCCTTTTTTTAACTCCACTGTATATATATATATATATATAATCATATATGATTATAGTTATATTATAACAACAATAACTTATACTTTTTTAGGTTTTCAATATTTCCATGTTTGATAAAGGAATTGTTAATTACTTTAGAAATATAATTTGTGATACAATGGCGTATAGGGAAAAAGAAAATATAGTTCGTCCTGATTTAATTAATCTGTTAATGGAGGCTAAAAAAGGACAATTAATAAACGATTCGACCAAAGATAAAGATGCAGGCTTTGCTGCAGTAAACGAATCAGACATTTTAGATTCGGAAAAACTTGGAAAAAAAGAGTGGACCAACGAGGAAATAACTGCACAGTCGTTACTATTCTTTTTCGCTGGCTTTGAGACTATTTCCATTGTTTCTTCGTTTATAGCCTATGAATTGGCCATCAATCCAAATATACAAGATACATTGCAAAGTGAAATTGATAGTGTTTTAGAAAAAACTAATGGTGATGTAAAATACGATGATATCGTGAAAATGAAATATTTGGATCAAGTTCTTGCTGGTAAAAAACACATTTTTATATTATTTTATTCGTTTAAAAAAATTGTATAATATGTGATTTATTAAGGTTGTCGTAGATTCAATTTGATAGATGTCAAATGTTTTAAACTGTTACATTTGGGCCATTCCACGCGTAACGGATAGGACAGTTGCCGTGTTTTTATTTACAAAATAATATTGTTCTATTATATTACCAATGTCAAATTTTTATAAATAGTTCTAAACTAAAGCTGTTTAACAAGGTTTTTATTTGGCAAAATTAGTTATCGTGGTTGAGTGTTTAATTCCTTAAAAACTAATAATTTAAAGCGTAACGGACGGGACTTTGTAATAGTCATTTATTTTCAAAAAAAGACTGTGGGGCAGTGGCGGCTGGAGGATTTTATGTATACCAATATCTCAGTAATTAGACATGGGACCCACACCAAATTTATAATAGTTTATAATGACATTAAATAAACAAGTTCGGCGCAAACAGAATTTAAATTGAAGTTTGCGAAAAAAGTAAGTTTTTCCTGTCGCCTCACCCGCCTCTAGGCCCCCCTATTTGAGATAATTCAAATTAAAGTGGTGCAATTTATTATCTACTATAATTTATCGACAAATTTAAAATTTTATTTAAAAAATCCAAATATTACAGATTTTATTCGATTTTAAATTTTTATTATTTATTTTATTAAAATAATAAAAAAATTAAAATGGTATAAAACCTGTAATAATTGGATTTTTTAAATAAAATTTTAAATTTGTCGATAAATTATAGTAGATAATAAATTGCACCACTTTAATTTGAATTATCTTAAATAGGGGGCCTGGAGGCGGGTGAGGCGATAGGAAAAACTAACTTTTTTTCGCAAACTTCAATTTAAATTCTGTCCGCCAGCCGCCACTGCTTTGGGGGCCTAAATGACAATGCAAATAAATAAGTGTTTATTTTTATGTCCCGAGACCTACTTTAAAAGGTTTGAAATTAAGTTATTTGTTAATGTCTGATTCACATTTATTGTTGTGAAAACTTTGCAACATTTTTTAAAGGCAAGCATCGTGACTTGGTCGCTTTAGCTTAGAAATCTTTTCTCCTAACGATTTTTTTTTTAACATTGCTTATACGCTAAAGAAGTATCGGGTTTACGCAACGCGCGCGCCATCTGGTGGACTTCGAATGCATTGCGTGAATTTAAAAATTGTCAACAATACATTTAAAGCACAGATTATACATCATTTTTAAATAAATTGGTACTTTTTTTACAAAAGAGACGAAGGCAGAAGTCTTACTCGACAAATTTTGTTCAATTGCACAGCTAAATCGCGCACGTTATTTGTGTTTTACGTTGCAAGGAAAAAATTAAAAACTTTTTTAGTACCTCTAATGTAGTTTTCTAAAGAAGACAGCAACATGGCTGTCGAAACGTCAAACCTAATTACAATGATACGCGGCTTAAAACCCGGAAACCTTTTTACTTCTTTTTTAGTATACCAGTAAATCTACTCGATTTCGATTGATTATTCCTTATATCATTGATTAAGAAACTCAACGCTTAAATGCTTATATAGTTACGTTAGTGAGTGTATTTTATCAAAGGGATCATGGTGAATTGTATTTTTAATTGTAAATAAAATTCAAGAACTAAATCGTTGCATTTCTATGTTTTAATAATAATAATAATAATAATAATAATAATAATAATACTTTATTAATCCAACAGACAACAGTCCATATAAAGGATATAAATTATTTAGATTACAGTGACAAATTACAGTTATAGGTTTATAAATTTAAAATAGCTAATTAGGACAAAATACCATAAATAAAATAACTTAGGATAGTGAGCGAATAATTCGAACAAATGAATTTAAATTTTGGTTAAAAATATCACAATTATTCAAAATTTGGTTATAAGTTCTACACATCGACGTCAATGGAGCATGCATGTGCTGGTTGTTTGTATAAGCATTTAAATAAAAAGTTGGACAAAATCTTGCATTTACTCTAGGCACGTGAATATTGATTTTTAGTAGTTGTTTAGAGTCCAATATTAACCCATTAATTAGCTTATATAAATAAATTAATCCTGCATTTCGACGACGCATTTCAAGACTTTCCATATTAAGGTAAAAAAGTGCAGTTTCATAATCAAAATCTATTAAAGGATAATAGCAATTATATATAATAGCCGAAGGATCCAATTCAGTAAGTATATTTGTTGGTGCAGAATTAACTAATGATAACTTTAAATATAATTTATATTTAAGTTTTGATATTTTTAAGAAATTAGTATAAAATAATTTTTGCACAAAAATAACCTTAAAATCAACAATTTTTATATTTGAGTTCTCTAAAAAAAACGCCGACAACTGCATTTTAAACAACAAAATATACCTACGAATTTATGGCAACATAGTATTATATATAATAAATAATATAATGGTATTTTACCGTAAAGTGAAGACTTTCTTATTCAGCGCTTTTAATAATGCTAAATGCTATTTAAATTTAGACGACTTATTTGTTTGACAATTTAACAGCTGTTTATTGGAAAACCGGTAAAAACTCAACCCAGGATTTCCTCTCGAAACACACCCAACAACACAACAAATCGAGCCACGGTTTTTTTTTCGATATTTTTTAACATTTATTATTATTATTATTCTCAAAAACACTCGTTTGTAACATAAGCGTTTGACAGCTGATTATTAAAAGTTGTACTTTTGTTACGATGATAACAGCCGAGTGGTGGCGAAACTAGCGATACTTCTTTAGCGTATAGCGTATAGTTTTAAAATTTTATTCGGGTTTGGTACCACAAGTGCTATAGCAACGTGGTATTACCAACAGTAATATACCGATAGTCGATAATATATGTTATTAGGTACTATTCAGTATAAAAATGTGAATGGGAAAATCAAGTTTTCAGTGAGTAATAGAGGTATGAAGATAAGGCGAAGATTCCGGAGATATATTTTATTGAGTAATTTATGTACTAAACGATTTATTTTAATTTAAATTTGGAATAAATCGAGCATATTAATGACAAGGTAATCAATACAAACAAACCGTTGTCATTGAACGTAGTCTTATCAAGTTAGAAAAGGATCTTACTCGGTAAGACACAGGTTACCAAGATGGTTGCTAAGTAAATAAGAGTTTTGATTGGTTCAATATCCGTGAAGTAAATTACCACTGTAATTTTTGAATTTTCAGTTAATAATTCAGCACTTGTTACATAGTTACAACAATGCATGTATTCTACAATATACTCATTTTTTATTCGAGAAATAAGTTTTTAAGGAATATAATTCTTTTTCATAGAAACTTGTATTTTCACTCAAGTTTGAAATGTTTTTCTCGGCTCCAAGAAAAAGTTTGTTTATATTTTATAGGGCCCTATAAAGAATATGTATTATAATTTGTATTAAATTCTCTTCACTTTGCCCTCGCTTCAGGACAACCTTAAGGTTGAGCGTGTTATTTTAATTTTTGGTTCGATCATATGATTTAACACCTTGAGACTTTTTTTTTGGGACGTAGGTCTATGGCAATCTTATAAAAAAATAAAATGCATCGCTCTAAAATAAAAAATTAAGGTGCTTTATATTTTTAACATTTTTTTAGAAACTTTAAGAAAGTGGAGTGCAGCCTTCCAAACTGATAGGATATGTACCAGGGAATATACCATAAAATCAATACAACCAGGAGAAAAGGAAGTAACTTTAAAACCTGGAGATATAATTTTAATACCTATAAGCGCCATACATTACGATCCAGAATATTTTCCAGAACCGGAAAGATTTGACCCAGAACGATTCGGTGATGAGAATAAGCAAACAATTGTTTCGGGTAGTTACTTCCCTTTTGGAACTGGACCCAGAAATTGCATAGGTATAATTATTTCTAAAAAGGAACAAAATTATTTTTATTGAATTTGTTTTTAAGGTTCCAGATTTGCGTTGCTGGAAGTTAAAATTTTATTTTTCTTCCTTTTATCGAATTTAAGCGTGGTACCAACATCAAAAACCCAAATTCCTTACAAAGTAAATCCAAGGTTTTTCAACTTTTCACCAACTGATATGCGTTTGGGCTTTAAACAACGGAATGTTACAAATTTATAATCTTTGATAATTTTTTAAATATTGTTGCTTTAAATAATAATTATTAATAGAGCATTTGTTCATATAAATTATTTCTTACAATGAATGTTATTTTTTATAAAATACTTTGTAGGTAAAAGTTAATAAAATAAACCTATTAAAAGTATTTACTTATATGTATTTAATCGATCGATTTTAATCCTTTTTTTGAAAGTTATTATATTTGCAAGGTAATTTATTATTAAAAATATTATACCAATTTTATTCTGCATATAACTAAATTGGTAAAAATTCCCTTACAACAATTGACAGCCTTAATTTATCTTGCTATATCTTTGATTCAACATGGCTCTAAATTTGATTAAAAGTTCGAAAGGCAAAAATCGTTTGTCTCTCAACGGTTTCATTTACACTTCCGACAAAGTTAGTGAAAAATGTATTGGAAGTGTGAAAATTTAAAAAAAATTTCGTGTAAAGGACGTGCAATTACATCAGGTGAAACAGTTATCAAAGAAAATAACTTGCATAATCATTCAGGAGATGCAGCAGGTATTGAGGCCAGAATGTATGTGAATGTAGAGACAAAAAATTTTCAACAATAAATGATTACCTGAAAAAATACCGTTTTAAAGTCATTCGCGCACGTACTAAAAAATAGGGGGAGTCAGTGAGTACTGGACCCCCCTATTTTGATTATTTGACAATTGTTTTTTATTTTGTTGGTCTCAAAAAATGTAACTATTTATGTTGAAGTAGTGTACCGAATTTAAACTTAATATCTTATCAATTACTCGAATTATTAAAAAAAATCAGTTTTAAATTTCAAACTTTGTCGCCCTGTATATCGAACATGAAGCTCTAAATTGAAAAATGGTATTATGAAAGTCTTATTGTTTTGACTCAAGGAATATATGGTTAACGGATTGACCTCCTTTTCCCGGACACCCTGTATTAGGGTGATTCATTTCCGCAAATTTTTTTTTTTTTCGGTGCTCAAGCAAAATATTAATCTACCTATAGAAAAAAAAATTTCACCAAGGTAGAGCTCTTAATATCAATTTTAAGTACTTGCAGTTTAAATTTAAAGTTTTCCCATTTAAAATGCATGTAAAAAAAATGGTTTTTTTTTTCAAATTTCTAATGCTCGCCCGCTTTTTACAATATTGTGAATCGGTTTTATGGACCTAATAGGGAATTTCACGCTCTTCAAAATTGTCTTTGTGTTTTTTTGTGTAACTCGTAGTGGTTCGCCAGTAGGAGTCATCAAAGTTCAATTTTTTGAATGAACATTTTTTTTTGCAATTTTTTTTAACAATTCGCAAAAAATAGTGAAAAAAAAGAGCTGAATCGTAAAAAATAGTCTTTTAACAAATATTTGATGAATTTACGGCCATTTTTATATTTTAAAACGTAAGTAATTGATAAATATTAACCAATTATGCTATTTAAATTAAACTTTCTTATTTACTATCGATATAATTCTCTACAACAATAACTTTTTTAGAGTTATTATGATTTCTGACTAAAAATAAATATAAACATAACACATCAATTCGAAATTTTTTTTATTTCATAAATTTGTTGTTCCTGTTAAAAAGTGTTTTATTTTTATCGTAACATAAATTTGCCCATTTTAGTTGGGTTTTTGCTCAATGGGGCGGGGGGGGCCAATGGGGCGGGGTCGGTTGGGTTGTGTTTTTATCTATTACATCACTAGCGTGCCCGTAAAAAATAAATTGCAGGCACTCAAACGTGCTCCTAGTCACTTCGTACTTTGTTCTCGAACTAATCACTAAATACAACAAACAATACATTTTGGGGTTAAGTATAACATAAAGCATCAAACCCGTTTACAAAGACAATAGAGTCGCTAACGTCATACTAATTAACTAGAGCAATCATAAAATTGTAACAGTTGCTTTCCCGATCAAATAATTATCATTATTTTTTTTACTTATGTTCGAATATGTCATCAAAATATTATTTAGTGCAATTATTCAAATAGCAATTTCTACTTATACAATATTGAAGCAAATGAAGTTAACAATAAAAACAATTTACTTTTTCGTTAATTTAAGAATTTAAAAATTGAATAACCTTCATTTATATTTATTGCTACATTACGGAAATGTTGAAAAATTGCAGAATCTAAGTTGCAATTGTATATTTGTTGTTTTTCTTAAATTAATGTGTTTTTTTATATTTATTACAAGTCAAAAATCATAATAACTCTGGAAAAGTTATTGTTGTAGAGAATTATATCGATAGTAAATAAGAAAGTTTAATTTAAATAGCATAATTGGTTAATATTTATCAATTACTTACGTTTTAAGATATAAAAATGGCCGTAAATTCATCAAATATTTGTTAAAAGACTATTTTTTACGATTCAGCTCTTTTTTTTCACTATTTTTTTGCGAATTGTTAAAAAAAATTGCAAAAAAAAATGTTCATTCAAAAAATTGAACTTTGATGACTCCTACTGGCGAACCACTACGAGTTACACAAAAAAACACAAAGACAATTTTGAAGAGCGTGAAATTCCCTATAAGGTCCATAAAACCGATTCATAATATTGTAAAGAGCGGGCGAGCATTAGAAATTTGAAAAAAAAAACATTTTTTTTACATGCATTTTAAATGGGAAAACTAAATTTAAACTGCAAGTACTTAAAATTGATATTAAGAGCTCTACCTTGGTGAAATTAATAGGTAGATTAATATTTTGCTTGAGCGCCGAGAAAAAAAAAGTTTTTTGCGGAAATGAATCACCCTAATATATATACAAATTCAATCTTCAGGACAAATTTCTTTCGAACAAATTTCTTTCGAACAAATTTACTTCGAACAAACTAGGTACCAATTTTAACTTAAAGCTAACTTCAGCCCATGGGCGAAATGCTGTTTTGCCCACAATTAGGCGAATTAAAACTTCGCTTACCGGTTAAAGTTAAGAAATAAAATGGATATTGGATAAAATACATTAATATTTTGTCCGATAATCAGATATTATTTTATTTTATTTGTTATTTTAATATACCTGAACTGGCAAATACTTTCATTTAGAGTAAAATTAAGAAAAACGTCACAAAAAATATTATATATTTTTATTGCACAATGCTATTATTTGCAACAGGAAATAATTTATGTCAGCAATTCTAAATTTACCCTGCAAAATGTACAGTAATGTAGGTCTATTTCATTTTTTTTTATTTAAATGCCTGTAGTTTAAAAAGTTGCAATTAATTTAAATTTGGACAACCATTAAAATTATGTATTTATGAAATACGGGTTTTTATCGAATTTTAAAAGCGTTAATTATTCAATTAAGACTATTTTTTTTAATATTTTTTCTACTCCCAGCTTTAAAACGCCCCTTATCGTACATGTTTCCATGACACTAAGTGGCCTTTTAAATACACATTGACAAGTTGTGGCTTTACGGCGCTTTAGTCACGGGCTGAAGTTAGCAACAGGTTTTTAGTCACGGGCTGAAGTTAGTTTTAAATTATTTGACAGTTGTCAAATGTCATACAATCGTTAAAAACAATTGACTTTCTTGTAAAATACTAAATGTGAAAATTATTTTATTATCTCAATACAAAAATACAAACATATTAAAAAGTTTCTCAACGCCAATATTTGAAAAGTTTAGATATATGAACATTGTACTGACCTTTTAATTTCGCCGGCAGTAAACTATAACTTAAATTCGGGCACGGACTCTACTGTAAAGTCCTCATAAAACATTTCGATTTATAACCTTTATAATTGTGTTTACAAAATGTAAAAATGTGACATTTGACAGTTTCCCCTGTTGTTTCATAGATGGCGCTCTATACAAATTTTTGATTTAAATCATTTTAAGATAATATTAACCCAGTCAGCATCCAATTCAGAAAGATTTCAGTATGAAGTCTTTTAAACAACTTCGTGTAGAAGTTCTAACATGACGTCTTAAACAGCTCCTTTTTATGAGCTCAAAATTCTGAGCTGTTAATGAACTCATAAATAAGAAGTCAATTTTTTTACGTACAAATGAAGATCTTTTCTTGACTTTTTTTGAACAATTTATTTTGAGCTTACAGAGTATTCTTTTTTCTTACTTCCAATTGAAATCATACTATTAACTCTTTTAGAAGCAGTGCCAGGTTAAGAATTAAAAAAGCAGTAGACGTAAAAGAAAAAAGCGTTAGAAAAACGGTAGATATTTAACAAAATTGGGTATTATTAAACGGTTTTTAATAAAAAAAAAGAAAAGTATTGTTTTTTGTAAATATTGTTGTAATATAACGACAACTGTTTGTCACTTTTTAAATTAAAGCATTCACTATCTATGTATTCTTTTGAAAGCATTAAGTCGGTTTCATATAGATGCGAAATGCGAATTGCTAAATACGAATATTTGCAATTCCTATTTCATATTTCTATATTTTCCATGATATTTTAGGTACTAAAATAGTAATGTTACTTAAAGTGGCTATAAAGGTAAAATAAGAAACATTAATGTACCTTAAAAAATTCTTTGTCCATTATAAAAAGCCAAAAACCCTACTATACAAACGAAATATACATAAATGGCGTAGGTATGATAAGCAATTGCGAAGCATTAGTGCGATTTTCACAAAATATTTGATCAATCTCAAGATTCCCGTCCTCTAGATTCAAATCTTGCGAATTCGCAGGATCTGTCGAAACGCTTTTCCGCCAAATTAAATGGACCTTTGGGAGCATTTCTTTGTTTTGTGCGACATCTCCATTGCGAGAGCCGAGGCCAATTAGTTTTGACGGTTAAACTTTGACCAGAGAAGTGTGGCTGCCGCCATGGAGGTGTTGAATTAATATATTGTTATCTTATATTAAAAATTAATTTAAATATTAGTATTTTTACATAATTACTTTAAAAATGGATTAAATTTAGTTTAGCGGTAGAAACTGAGTGCTTTGCGGTAGAACGGTAGGTCATACTCTAAAACGGTAGATCTACCGAAAAAACGGTAGACCTGGCAACACTGTTTAGAAGTCAAAATACAGACGTCGAATTAAGTACTTGTTAATGGATTCATTTTTAATGCGCAGTTTGAGGCTTGCGCAGAATTTCTAATTTTGTGTTTATTTATTTTCCTAGTGCGCTCTAACCTAGTTTCAATAAACATATATAGTTTTTATTAAATAATTACTTTAATAATTACAATAATAACATTGAATAATTACAGATAATTGTGTTAAATTTGATTAATTTCAATCAATTTATATTTGTTTAATGGTCATTTTTCGTTATGGTTTTTTTACGCCTGAATGTAATGGTAATCTTTTGCGTTGATGTTGAAATTTTAATTTATTAATATATTTTTAATTTTTACCTGTCTGTAATATATTTTTGTTAATTCATTACAAATCAGGAAGCATACAATTCAGAAAGATTTCTGTACGAAGTCTGTTGAAAAACATCTTACTGAGGTCACAATATTGACATCTTAGAGAAATCATTTTTAGGAGCTCAAGATTAAGAGTTCTTGATGAATTCATAAATTCATTTTAATGCGATTACTTTCTTCTCACCGCTGTAACTGCTTGTGTTTGATATAAGAAGCGGCGAAGTAGAATTTAGAGCGTGCTCCTGGTAGCCGTTTACCTAGGTCTAAGACCGTTTGGTATGGAGCACTGCTCCATATTAAACGGTCTTAGACCTAGGTAAACGGCTACCCGATACTGACGAGCTCCAAAAGAGCGTCTATCGGTGCCGGTGAAGAGCATGCTTGAATTTAAATAAAAGTGAGACGAAGTAATCGCAATTCCTAAAATAAGCGAATACGAGCAAATTATTAAAATGATTTTAATAAAATCAATTTACCAAATTAATAAAATTAATAAAATAAATTTGACATGTCAAAATAAGCAACGATCCAGTATGTAATTTTTTCATTAGTACCCTATAGGGTCCTACTGTATAAACTTATAAAAAGACTTCTTTAGAATTTCCCGTTTTGGATAAAGAAATACTACTATAGTACTATAGTAGTACTTCTTTATCCAAAACGGGAAATTCTAAAGAAGTCTTTTTATAAGTTTATACAGTAGGACTCTTTAAAATGCTTAATTGCGAAGTCAAAGAAAAGGGTTCCTTAAGAGTTCTTTTTTGAGAAGTCTTGATTAGTTCAATAGGTGGCGCATTCGAAGTCTTAAGAACTTCTTAAAAACTTCTTTCTGATGTTGTATTTGACGTCCAAATCATAAAATAGAGCTTATGCAGACTTAATTAAGACGTCATATTGCTGTCTGGGAAGTATTTGTCGTAGAAAAAGTATAGTATGCACCTCGTTTGTAAACTTTTCTATACACTCATTAGCTCGCAAGCTCGCTCCTGCCTAAATTAAATTCGTGTATAAAATGGCGTTTATCAAACTTGATACATAATATACTATTAAACAAAATGTCACATCATATTTGTTACTTTAAATAGAACCCTATATATTTTAGCATTTTTAAATTCTACATAAAATTTTGAGTAAAATTACTGTACCATGTCTACCATACCTAAAGTGAATAGTTTTCGACAAATGCGCGTCAATCAAAAATAGCCTATAACTTTTTGCTATTAGGTTTGCCGAAATGGGGGTGGAATTTTTGGAATCTTAAAACATTGTTTAAAAGATTCCATATTTTTTAACAAATTACCCAAAAAAACCCAGGGCAAATTAGGCTAACTTGAAACGTTAATAACTTTTTTGTTTTAAATGAAACACCCTGTATGCTTTTACATAATCAAATAGAAAATTAAAAAACATTTCGATTGATGTAATTGTTAAATATCTCTGAAATTATAAATTTTAGGTATAGGTAACTCGAAAACTATTTACTCTCTAAAAATGAATTAGTCAAAAATGGCTACAGTTTTTAGTGGCTGCTTTTTCACTTATACCATGGTATAGCATGGTTTCCCCGATATAATATCCAATTCTTATGACAAATTGTCAGCTTAATCAGAAAATGTCGTCAAAAGTTATAAAAGTAAAAGTTTTTGAGATATAGTCAATTTTCCATATAATATGGAATTCACTCAAAAACTGCTCTACTTTTATAATTTTAGAAAAAATTTTAGGATTCAGGGGACAATTTCACATAAGAATTAAATACTATGTCAGGGATACCATGCTATCCCTTAGTATACCATGGTATAAGTGAAAAAGCAGCCCCTAATAACTGTAATAATTAGTCATTTTTGACTAATTCATTTTTGAGAGTAGGTATAGGAAATGTTATAGTAATTTTACTAAAAATTTTATGTGGAGTAACTTCCAATGGACCACGAATGTGAAATCAAGTGATGTTTTTTAGGCTGTGATACCACTATATATTCTAATGCAATGTATAATCGTCAAACTAAAACATCAAGATTTTTTTCCAACATATATTTAATATAAAATAAATACAAGACTGTTGTTTTATTAAAAAAAATCAATCATAAATATTTTTTTTTGTTTAAAATTTTTTTATTTTCTTTAAGTAGGTATCATTTTTGTATTATGTAAAAACATAAAATATTTAAAGAAAAAAAATAAAGAATTAAAAATCTGTTAGGTTAAAATAATAAAAATGGGTGTGTAAAAAATTTAAATGACGTGATTTCGTGAAACGGCGAGACACGGGTACGTTTTTTAAACCTTTATTTTTTAAATCTCTTAAATTTTTTCATGGTAGGAAAATGTTGGACTGTGTATTTAAATCTGAAATCTTAGTCAACGCTCAAGTCGTTTCCTAAATGAACACACTGATTTGGATCATAATAAAGTTGCCATAATATTATTATAAAAGTACTTACTATTTTTCTAATTACTCACACTTTAGAAAAGAAACTTCATTTTAACAGTCGTAAAATGCATATCTCATAAAAATAAAAAAATATCGACACTAATGTTAAACAATATTATATAATAAAGCAAAATTTTATAAAATTTTATTGTAAAGGCGCAATAGAACAAAGTCAATTACACAAAATTTAAAAAATAACGCTTTAAATGTAAAAACTGCTACTATCGAAAAGTACAAATACAATACAGAAAATATTGTAAAAAAGGCACACTTTTTTTAACTGTATAGTTAATATAACTTAACAAAAGAAGAGTGGCACTTTTTTTGAATGTTGAAAATGCCCTATTAGCAAGAATTTTATTTAGATTAAGTTATTTACAGAAAATAGCATTCAATTTTGCATTATATTTTTACTATTCAAATAAAAAGTGTAGGATATATAAACATATCCAGTAGTCAAAAGTGTTGGTCAATAGATTCGATCTTGAAATCGCAAATCTAGAAAACCATCAAACGGATGGTAAGCACGTTTGCTGGAAGCCCGATCCAATTACGCAACTAAGGATGTGGAAGTGAAACCCCCGCAAACTACGATCTGGAGGTATGAGAAAGTACGATTCTGCTTCATATATAAACTGACTAGCGATTTCTGTCAGCACAAAGCCTTCCGTACATCTTGAAAACATGAGGGCATTGGTGAGTACAATTGTTTTTTGAAACAACAAAAAACGAACAACGGGATTTGTGAATTATTTTTGTGCATTAGTGGTACTGTGAAACGGATTAAGTGCAACGACTACTGGATTTTTATAGTTATACAGGGTGTCTAGTGCTTAATTTGGATACATCAAGTTTATCTCAAACAAATATTATTGAGCATATATTTTTATTTTATTTTGAGTGAAGTTAATGTATAATTTTTACGGAAAATTTCACCCTGTATACTTATAAAAATGTGTTCAAAACATTTATTTTGTGCATTAGAAAGTAGTTGTGGCAAATGATACGCATTTTTAATTGTTAATTGTTATTATTTTTTTAATTGCATTCCTTTTTTTAATGATACCCGCTGGTGCGAGTTCTAGTGTCGAATGTATTTACTAAGGAAACGTTATAGTCGATTGAACGCGTAATTAATCGGTATATTTAATGGTTTCTTAAATAATTATTTAAATTAAGGTTACAAACATAATTATCTGTAAGATAAATTCCAGTTATTTCAGTTATCTAATTCATGTCGTTTTGTTATTTAGAAGTAAAACTAGTTCATTCAATAAAATAATTATATTTAAAAAATCATAAATTTAAACTATATAATTTTAAAGTTAAATACAATAATAATTATATCAGTGTGATTATTACATTTTTTGTACTAGTAAGTAATTTTTAAAACCACTTAAATGACAAAAATAACAATCCTGGTATAATTGCGGTTTAACGGATCGACGGGATTTTTAGCATAGATATCAAGGGTCTAGCAAACTTCATTTAAGTAAAATGTTCGGTTAAAAGTTAAAAAATAAAAAAATACGCTATTAAAGTATTCCCTTACAAAAAATTAGGTAAATGTGATTAAATTTGCTAGTAAAAAATATTGGAGTTTGCTGTGTTTGATATTAGACCCATTGGCCGGAGGGTAAAATATGCTACTTTTTTTTTACTTTTTGTTATATTTTTTACTTCTTTTTTTTACCACGGGCGGAGCCTGCGGTTTTACAACTTTAAAAAATAACTGCTAGAAATTGTATTATAATAGTACTTGTTATGTTATTTTTTAATAGCACCGAGAATTTATATATTATGCTCATAAAAAATTGTTTTATAAATTAAAGGTAGTATTTTTTCGTAATGATGCCTTATAAATATTACTTTATTAAAAAAATCGACAATATATTTTTCATGTATTTAAGAAAATATATTTTAAAACCAAGAATGTTAAGCCTAGTATTTCAAATTAAAATCTATAAAGGGTAATTTTTGCGAATTTGTTATAGATAAAAAATTTATTAAAACAGAATAGAAATCTGAGCTAAAAAAGTAATTTTATATTTTAATAATAACTATGGGTTTCAAATTTGATATTTTTGTCACAGATCGTTATAGATAAGAAATTTATAAAAACAGAATATAAATCTTAGCTAAAAAAGTAATTTTATATTTTAGTAATAACTATGGGTTTAAAATTTGATATTTTTGTCACAGATCGTCATAAGTGCCGTGTGCTTGTGCGCGGCTCTAGCTGCTGAGCCCGAAAAGAAAGAGGCCTCACCGCAGGAGAGCAAGAAACAAGAGAAACGCGGCCTTATTGGTCTCGGATCGCATGGTGGCCATGATTTCGGCGGATTCGATGGCGGCCACGACATTGGCGGTCACGATTTCGGCGGTGGTCATGGGGGCATCGAGTTGGGCGGTCAAGAGTATGGCGGCGGTCATCACGAGCACCACGAGCACGTAAAGACCGTGGTCGTTGAGAAGAAAGTACCAGTACCTGTGACCGTTACCAAGCATGTGCCTTACACCGTCGAGAAGAAAGTACCCATCGAAGTTAAGGTTCCAGTACCACAACCTTACGAAGTCATCAAGAAGGTTCCATACCCAGTAAAGGAATACATCAAGGTACCATACTACGTACCCCAACCTTACGAAGTAATCAAGAAGATCCCATATGAAGTTAAGGTACCAGTACCAAGACCGTACGAAGTCAAGGTTCATGTTCCACAACCCTACACCGTTGAAAAGAAGGTTCCAGTACCCGTAAAAGTCCATGTCCCACAACCATACACCGTCATTAAGAAAGTTCCATACCCAGTCAAATACGAAGTGCCAGTCCCACAACCTTACACTGTCGAAAAGAAGGTACCATATGAAGTTAAAGTACCAGTAGACAGGCCATACACTGTCCACGTTCCAAAACCATACCACGTCACCGTTGAAAAACACGTCCCTATCGAAGTACCAAAACCTGTACCTTACCACGTCAAAGTACCAATCGACAGACCATACCCTGTCGAAGTACCAAGGCCAGTACCTTATGAAGTTAAAGTACCAGTACCTCAACCATTTACCGTGGAGAAAAAGGTACCAGTCGAAATTGAGAAGCCAGTACCTTACCCAGTTAAAGTACATATTGACAAGCCATATCCAGTAATCAAAGAAGTACCATACCCAGTAGAAAAGGAAGTGCCAGTACCTGTCAAAGTTCCAGTTCACATCCCAATAAAAGTATCCCACCACCACCAAGAGGGTGGCTATGAGGGCGGTTATGAAGGTGGAGACGGTGGCTACGAACACGGAGGGTACCACCATTAATAGTTGTTGTTAGGTCTTTACTAATTGTTATGTAATTGCTATTTTTTTACTTTCGCTTGTAACACGCTAAGTCAAAAATAGTCAAACGTCCATTTCGACAATTGCTCAGAAAAAAATATTTCCTTATTCACGATCATCAAGCGTGCAGTATTATTACTTTAGAAACTGTGTTAATTAATGTATTTATCTATTTTTTATTAAATAAATCATTTCTATATAATTCTAATTCTTGCTTAATTGGAGCACATATTACATGCATAGAAAGTGACTGTATGGTCTAATGAAAGTCATTATATTACTTAATTTCATCTGATAATCTGGTTTATGCGCATGGGAATTCATCCGTAGAAAGCGGACGTAACCACTACATGTGTATCATCGCACTGCAATACCCCACCAACAAACCAGTGCAATACACTGATAACCCATGTATGTAACGAAAGTAAGTGCCAACAATCCAATTATAATACCATAAAGTTGACATGCCATAATGGTTTTTACTTTTTTACGTAATAAGCAGTTTTATATTTGATTACTATACTATACCATAAGCATATACCTATATATAAGTTATAGGTATATGACCATAAGTACCTATATGATTAGAATCGATTTTTTAATAAGTTTTACCATGGTTCTATAAAATTTATTAGGTATTTAAAATTATTTGATACTGACTTTTAAATTTAGTTATTTCATTTAATATAATAATTAAATTATAAAACAGAATAAAAAATAAATAGGTACATAAATAAATATAATTATGCTTAAGCATGATCTAAATGTTTTGCCAAGCTTATACATCGCATCTAAGGATAAACGGGACGCATGGAATTGGAATTTTAAATGTTACAATAATGAATTTTACAAACTTACAATAATGTTGTTTACTATTGACAACCACTTATTTTTAAATATAAATAAATAAATATTCGTGAATTTTGTTAATTGTTTCATTAATAATTCATACGCTCACTGAAGAATCCTGACCCAAAATATAAATATTAAACATAAAACATTTAAGTAAAATGTGCATTTTTACAAAAATCATTATTTTATAAATTAATTTTATAAAAATAAAATACTAGGTGATATATACCCTAACAAACTTTTTAACAAAACATTCCTAATGAAATAATAATGTAATAATATTAGGTTCTTTGCTTCCAAAAATAAGATATATAATATATATCTTAAAATTTTTATATATTATATTAGCCTGACCGCAATTAGTTAGGAAATTTTCCAATATCTCGATATCAATGAGCCGGGCTAAAAAAGTTTCTTTTTTACCTTAAAAAGAAAACAGGAAAGGCTGAACCCGATCGGTGAATAATTTATAGACCCAAAAACAGGTTAAAGTTAAACAAAGGGATTTTTTTTTAATTTTACATTTTATTCATTGATTTTCTTATATAAAGTGCTAAAATATGCTAATATTTATATAAAATTGTGAATTTTACATTTTAATTAAGGTAAGGAACAAATAACTATGTTTAGAATTGGTCAGACAATGCAGATTTTGTATGCGACGAATATTTTTTCCGATATAAATCGACAACTTGCAAATCAACTGAGCTTCTTCTTCGTAGTGTGTTAAAAGTTTTAACTTAACTTAAAACACGGTTGTAATCTTTCATAAATTTAACGCCACGCTCTGCAGAGTCGTTAACGACGAATACATTTTGAAACAATTCTGAAGCATTTTGATATTCCTCATTTCCATGCTAATGGGTCAAGCTCGAAAAAGTCAGTTTGAGGTCCGAAATTGGTAAAGAGTATTTTCGTTTTATATGAAACGAAATCGGATAAATCGCATTTCAACAGATGTTGAGCATTTGGATACGTGCGTTATTTGACAAAAGCCACTGTAGGATTTTTCGCTTTCAAACGATTTACCATTTTTCGCTTGATATTGAGTGAAACTCTAGGATCGAAAAATGCCAACCCCACTGTTTCTGGAGTCAAATACCACAAGTGATTCTTCATCTTTTCAATTAACGCATCATATACAACTTTATAAATTTCGGAAAACTCAAAAGCTCCACGCAGAAAATTCAAATCCTGATTGGGGCATTCAAGTGAGTTCGTGCATCCGTACCAGGCCTTAATGTAAAGTTTAACTACAAAAATTGAGATATCTCAAACACTATTGAGCTCTCTTGGGGTCAGATTAAATTGAGCACGAAACAGAAAAATTTTCAGGCAATAAATTGCTTTTGACATAAATCTAGCGTGAGATGTTGCACAACATGTGCGAAAAGCACCACCGTTTTCACCAAGGAATGTGATCGTAAGCTCCAAGAGTTCCTTATAATCGCCGCGTATATTTAAGAATGCAAGCACCTTGTTGAAGGCCAGTGTTTGAGGAAGTAGTATCAAAGCTCGAAGCCACAACTTTTTCAGAAATGTCCCATTCGACTAAAGTATTATGAACAGCTTGAGCTATGTTTTTGCCGGTACCTGATTCAATTTTGGGAGCGCCCAAAAACTTAGCAGTTCCATTGTAGCTTACGAGAACTGCTAACTTATACACGTTGGATCTGCCCACTAAATCGGCCAAATTTTTTCCGTCCCAATGAACCATCAAACGATCGTTTATACTTTACTATTTCATAGAGAAAAAAGCAAAATTAAACTAACTTAGTATATACATTATACAATAATATAGGTATATAATACGTGTAATACGTACGTTATCGAGGAATTCAGACTTTGCTTCGCCAAATTGATAGTGCCGATTGTTTTGACGCAACTGCTGTAAAGAAGTACGATTCAAGACTTTATTATCGGCAGGAATCTCCAAAGCCTCTACTGTTGCCATCAAAATATGCATCGCCTGTCGGTCCGACACCTGAACGCAAATAAGAAAGAAGACTTTGAAACAATCTTAATTTTTAAATCATATTCTTTTTACCTTCGCTTTATCAAGTGCGGCACATAATCGTGGTGTAATCCATATTTTTTTTGTAGTAAAACGCCGTTCTTTAGATGGAAATTCATCGTGGAAAACATCACTATCTACTTCTATGGACTCACTTTCGATTTCGGTTTCACTTTTGTAGCAAACTTTAATGGGGAGGGAAATTAATGTCGAAAAAAATATATAACCACAGCAGCAATACAATCCAATTACTTACCAGATTGTTGCAACTCCGATGTTTTCTCATTTCTTATTTTCCGCACTTCTTCCCTTTTTTTCCGCAATTTCGATCTTTCTTCTTTGGATGCTAATTTCATATCAATGCCCAACATTGAACCAGGCCGTCCTTTCTAACGCTGTTTTTCCAAGAATTCTTTGTCCTCTTTGTTTCTCATTGTCTTTAATGCATCGGCAGCCGCTATATCAAAAAGATCGTCTAACACGTCCATGAAAACATCAAATTTTTGTTTTATTCCCGCTGCCATTTTCTCCACCTTCACTTTGTTAAAAGTTTTCCAATTTTCGTACATTTTCAGAAGTTTGCTGGCATATTTATGAGACACGAGTTGGTTTACGCGCTTGTTGCCAAAATATTAAAGCGTCATCAATCGTCAACCTTGCACTCTCTTTTGAGCTTCAAATTTCTCACGTGCTTTTTTTTTAAGTAAAAAAGAAAATTTTTCAGCTCGGCGCTCATTGATATCAGGCGATGTTACAAAAATTATTAAAATAAAAAAAGATTTAAAATGGTATAAAACCTGGATTTTTTAAATAAAATTTTAAATTTGTCGATAAATTATAGTAGATAATAAATTGCACCACTTTAATTTGAATTATCTCAAATAGGGTGGCCTGGAGGCGGGTGAGGCAACAGGAAAAACTAACTTTTTTTCGCAAACTTCAATTTAAATTCTGTTTGCGCCGAACTTGTTTATTTAATGTTATTATAAACTATTATAACTTTGGTGTGGGTCCCAAAATCCACCAGCCGCCTAACAATTGTAAATCCGTACCGCGAACTCCACCCATGGACACTGTTAAAGGCCTTGGACAGATCTAGGCATAAGGTTGCAGTGGTTTTTTCTTCATTCCTTCATCAAAGATAGGCATCATAAACAATGAACTAACACAGGCATCAATTTTTGAGAAAATAGTATTTATATCTTTGTTTATTTCTGGGCATGCGTTTATAATAAAATCATTAATATTAATTAATACATCAATTTCAGCGTGATTTGGAAAATTGTTTTGAATAGATTTAGCTTTTTTGTTTATATTTGTTTCCTGATCTATTAGTAGCCAGATTGCTTTGGATTTAGAATTGATAAAAGTGTACTGACTTATGATTTTTGTTTTTTTAATTACCTTCTTCAAGATAGCAGAACATTTTTATAGTACATAACAGATATATTACCTTTTTCATATAGACATCTTTTTCTTCCAATCTCTCTCCAAAATTGGGTTTAATTTGGAATTTAAAATTTCACTAAAATATTGATATGCCATGTTCACATCATTCATTAGTAAGGTTTGTCCACTCTAGATTTTGCAGTTCAAAAAACATGTTTTGCATTTTCTGAAAAAAAAATTTTTACCTTTGAGTTGTTCTTAGCTATATTATAATTTGAAACATTTGTGGTGCAAGAAGAATGATGATCAGAGAGGCCTGAAATGATAACAGAGTTATTTATATAATGGTTAAAATTTACAAAAAAGTTATCCAACAAAGATTTTGAGACTTTTGTCTTTCTATTAAGTCAAAATATTGTTTTTTTTAAATTCATACTTGTTAAAAGGTATAAAAAATTCTTTTTGTCATTATTGATAATAAATTAAAATATCCACATAACACATCATAATTAATAAATTCAAACATACTGTTTAAAATTTCTTCAAATATAATAATGAAATCATTATGATAAAATGAGCAGTTTTCTTTTTTTGATTATTATACTGGATATCTTGATTATACCTTCAATACTTTTATTCTTGAAGTCTGCTTTTTAAGGAAAATTTTGTGTATATTGAGTCGTATATGATGAGGCTACAGCTATAGTTATATGTATAGCCTTGGATTTTTATGTTTCCAGCTTATATTTTTTTAGCGCTTCAAAAAAAATATTTTTTTTCGCTTTTACCCTCTCAAATGTTTCTATTTACTATAAAAAAAAATCCTCACGAAATATGGGTGATCCAGCTCAACTCTACTGCCTTGTTTTGCCCCCTTTCACCTCCCTTCTGCTAATTGTACCATAAAATTTAAAAAACCAGAAAATTTGATGTTAATCAAACTTTGAAATCGAATAACTCTAGAAGAAATTAATTTTTAGAAAAATAATAAGAGACATTTTTTTGTAGTGCGTTACATTTATCATTGCCATAAGTTACTTTGATACAGAGGTATAAAATTCCAAACATAAAATTATTTTTCCCATGTTAATTAAATGGGAAACTAAAATAAAAACAGCGACCCCTTAGAGTTGAGCTGGAACGCCCATATTTGGTGAGGATTTTTTTATATTAAATAGAAACATTTGAGAGGGTAAAAGCGAAAAAAAAATTAAATTTTATTTTTTGAAGCACCCTACTGTACATAAATGATGGATTATTTCTAATTTTCTGTTTTTTAGTACTTCCATTTTAAGTGAAGGTTCTGTTTTGGCTTTGTACGTTGTACTTTTGTGGATGTGTTTGCATTTTACTTTTGGTTGACTTATTTGAATATTGTTTTAAATTGTTTGATGTTCTACTCTAAAAAATTTCCTTGATGTTCAAGAAAATCCTTATGCCTATTGAAATCAAAACGTTTTATCCCTACAAATTAAGACCATATATTTGGGTTATATAGTTCATCCTTTCTTGAGATTGGAGCAAATGTCTTTAATTGCGTCTGCTTGGATGGTAATTCTTTCACAGTTATATTTTCTGATTCAAACCCTGGTTATTTATTATGTCTTCTGTTGCCGTACGTTTTACCCTGTTTATATATATCCACCTCTTCTGTCAGCACCTGCAAACTCCTTGCTGTTGACACCGGTTTCCAAATTTTTCTTTACTTTCTTTTATCATTCTTTCTGATTCTATTCCATATATATCGCCGACGGTGGACGAGTGGTTAGTGCTGCTGACTACAAGCCGGAGGTCGTGGGTTCGAATCCCACCAGGGGTATGGCTGTTTATTTGTATTTGTCCTATTGTGTAATAGTCCTTCGGAGGGGACTTTAAGCCCGCGGTCCGTTCCTACCCCTAACCCGCACAAGCCATTCAGTTGGCTTATGGGACTTAAGAAGTAAGGGTGGAACTAAAAGAGCACTTTTTTTTGTATATATATATTAGGGTTTTCCTTATTTAGGAAAAAATTTAACAGAGGCGCCCCCCAAATCGGTTTCAAATCATAAAAAAGTAAGCGATGCAACGAGTCGGCGCGGCAACTTCAAAGTCAATCAAGTCAGGAAAGGGCAGGCCCATACTAAAAATAAAGTACAAGAATTTATTTTATAAAGTTATTTCCAAAGCAAATAGTTTTATTTTAAGGTTTGAGGCAATTGCAACTAGTGAAGGTTTACCTTGTGGTTCAAGTTTGCCTGTAGCTCAAAATAATTATGAATTTCAAGGCAATGATGTACGTTTGTCACTTATAGATTTACCTTAGTTTTCAGGTGAAACAGATTTGTGGCTCGCACTGCATCTGAATCAATTAAATCGGTAAATTTCACGTCCGATGATTACGATACAGCATGGAAACAAATTTGTGAGCGTTACGATAATAAAAAGGTTTTATTACACAAACATATTAAAGCGCTTCATAATTTGCCACAACCAAGTGAAAATACCGATAGCTTTAGGAGCATTTTGAATAAGCTCAATTCAAACTTACGTTGTTTGTCTTCTTTAGGTCAAGCGACTTCAAATTGGGATTCTTGGTTAATATACTTAATTAAAGACAAGCTTTCTTCAGAGCCATTAAAAGAATGGGAAACTTTAACCATCAATGATAGTTTTTTTACACTCGATCAAATTCACGAATTTTTAAAGGAAAAGTGCACCTTCTACAAAACAGTAGAAGCTCAATCTGTTGGAGTAAACAAGATTCTGCCTGTTAGTCAAAAGTCAGTTCTTTCGTAACGTCAAGTGAAACATCATTTTCGTGCTACTTTTGTAAAAAACTTCATTTGATTTATTATTGCAATGCGTTTTTAAATCTTTCTATAAAAGAAAGAAATCAACAAGCAAGACAACTAAAATTATATATAAATTGCTTAAAATTGGGGCATATGTTGTCGCAATGTGATAAGACAGGCTGCAAAAAATGTATCAGCAAGCATAATACGTTATTACATTATTCAAAGGAGGGCAATACATATCAAGGTTCGAAACCTGCAATTTTAAGTAATAATCCTCAGGATAATTCTAGTAAACCACAAACAGTAACATGTGCCTTTAGTAACAATAGTTGTATTTTAATATCTACGGCTATGGTTAATGTTAATAATGCTAATGGTTCCAATGTGACTTGTAGGGTCCTATTGAATTCGGGATCACAATCTAATTTTGTCACAAATAAATGCGTAGAAAAACTATGTTTACAAACAGAAAAAACTAATTTCTCTGTTATGAGTTTGGGATTAAATTCTTACAATTTAAATTCTTTAGGCAATATGGAAATAAATTCAACGATAAATCAATATAAATCCAATATTTCATGTCTAGTTATTTCTGAAATTGCCACTGATTTGCCTAATTTTAATTTCAATGCGACTCTATTAAATATTCCTAAACATCTTCGATCAGCTGATCCAAGTTTCAATAAGAAGTAGTGGCGTAGACATGCTACTGGGTGCAAGTGTGTTTTGGGATTTGATTTGTACTGGCAAATTTGGGTTAGGACCCAATAAACCGATAATGCAGAAGACATCTGTTGGGTTGGATTATTTCGGGGCCTTTGAACTTGGAACCTAGTAACAAAATTAAATGCAATTTTGTCAAGTATATCAAGTATATTGATTTAAAAGAACAACCTTTTTAAATTTTGGGAAATAGAACAAAACAGTTATGTTTCCACCTAAGATCAAGAGTGCGAGTCAATATTCAAAAATACAATAACTAGAAATATAGATGGTAAGTTTAAGGTGACAATTCCATTTAATTATTCAACTAACCAATTGGGTAACTCTTACAATAATGCAAAAAAACAGTTTTTAAATTTGGAGAACAGATTATTAAAAAACAATGATTTGTATAAGAATTACAAGGACTTTTTGGATGAATATGAAAACTTGGAACATATGTAAAGGTTCCAATTGATGATAGGTCGCCAATAGCATATTATTTA